TATGTAGAAGTGACTGTAAATTCCCACCCGTGTTGGGCCCATGAACGCACCTATGCCCGCAGCCGTTTCCCCACCTCCACGAGAGAACTGGATGGAAGAGAGGAGCATCTTCTTCTGCAGAAAGGTAAATTGTAAACTCTGATAAATGTGTTAAATCTGAATGGAAACAGCATTACCCCGTCTGAAGTTTACATGGGCTGAGTTTTTACAAGATATTAATTTCAGTGCGTGGGCGAGGAATCCTTGATAAAATTGGCTTTGTTAGGAAAAGTAAACTACTCTGCTAACAAGTCATGCACAATTTATAGCTTGTTAGGATGAGTTAGATTTAAAATGACAGAAGAATTACTAGGTGCCACAACAAGGCTTGCAGAGACAAACAGCTCCAAAGTGGTTATAAGCTGTGTTGGAAAATTAAAATCAACAAACTAGACACTTTCAAATGATGCTGGCCCCTGTCCTTTCACATTTAACAGGGCAACCAGTTATACAACAAACCCCCAGCATCACACTCTGTTGCTGAGAGGGAAGATGACTTGATCTCAATGCATTCTACAAGATAAAGGCATGCACCTGAAACAGATACCTCTATGACAACTAGACCACGAGATCTTGCTCCCTTTGCTGCTGAGCTGGAGGTCATAGATCTCTGATTTCTGGCCCACCAAGACGCACGGGACTCAGAGGCACTAGGGACTGTGAAAATGAGATTCAACACACTTTTACCTACAATGATGATAGGAGGCAAAATAATACGGGAGCCTATTACAACAACGGGCCGGAGCCTCAGAGGCCTAAATTAGCCACGCTTGATGGCAATGAGGATTGGGACTCTTGTCTGATGCCATTTGAACTCCAAGCCAACAAACATGGATGGAGTGCTATTGAACGAGTGGACAGGCTGCATGAGTGTTTAAGGGGAGCTGCAGTACAGTATGTCTGTTCGCTACCAGAGCGCACAAAGGAAGATTATACGTCGACAAAACCAAAGGGATGCTTTTTTCAAACAGGAAGTAGGTGCCAACAGTTCTTCCTCTGATTTTATCATCAAATGGTGCCCCTATTAAGTTTGTCGATTCCTACAAATATTTGGGTATGTTGGTCGATTCACATCTCTCTTTTAATCCAAAAAAGTTCAATCTGGTCCTCTGGACATTCCAAAAAAACAAAAAACAAAACAGAGCAAAAAAATGTAGAAACGTTTCATCTCTCATCCGAGAGACTTCCTCAGTCTGAGGTGCTGTATTCAGCTCAGTCTCTTAAATAGCACCTTCTCAGAGTGGATCAACCAAAACCAGCTGCTCACATGGTCAAGAAGAACCATCAGCCTAACAATGGATCATCAGCACACTGATGGCTGTTTACTATTCACAGGGGGTTGAGTGATACTAACAATCACAGCATTGTAAGAGGGGGACAGTTGAACCCGAAAGCTTCCACCCCTGTTTAATGATGGACGATTTCTTTTCACAAAGATGGCCTCTTTTACTCCTCTCTCTGTTGGGATCCTGCCCTGCACTCCTCTCTCTCCTCAAGCTCCTTAA